CTCCTGAGTGCTGAAATTACAGCATGTGCCACCATGTCCACTCAACCTTTGCAGGACTAGGGAATCTAACCTAGGACTTTGAGCATGCTAGGCAAACAGTTTTACCACATCTTGGGCAATAATACCAACTACTCAAGCAGCTAGTACCTCCCTATGTCAAATGTCACCTAAAAAAATAGTCCCACATAAAAAGGATTTTTAAAAAGATATTTAATGAAATAAATAATTTTTTTCTTTCAATTTCTGGGATTTAATTTTTCTGTCTGGTAACAGTCTCAAAAGAGGGGTTGCTGTAGAGAGCTAGCCTCCTAAGCCAAATAGCCATTTTCTCTATCAGAGCAGCCATGACCTTCTGCAGGGATCCCTGGAAATGGGGTCTGTAGATTGTTGAGATCCCCTCATAAAAGGGGGAGCAGGAAGGGATATTAAACTCTAACCTGTAATCTCAGTCACTTCCTTCTGCATCTCCCAGCTAGCTGCCTGTAATTCTGCCCTGATTGCTCATGGTCCCATGTGGGGATCTGTGGTCCCATGCTGGAATTGTGAAGATTGTGAAAGATTGTGAAAAGGTGCATGAAGAGAGGGCTCCACCCATGCAGCTGTGGGAAATTTTCATCCCTCATGGGGTGAGACTTTTCAGTGGTATGGCTGCTTTAGGATTGTCTACATCTCCGTACACCACCCCCTTGTTCATGCTCTGCAAGAAAGCACAATAAAATCATTGGTTTACCAACTCAAACTTTAGTCTGTTACTGGTGCCCTATCTGGGGCAGGGGTGGGGGGGGTAAGTGTAGGTGTTTATTACCCTCCCCCCCCCTCTCTCTCTCTCTCACACACACACACACACACACACACACACACACACACACACACACACACACACACGGAGTGAGTTCCTGCAACAGGGTGTTGTGTTAGTCAATAGTCACCTGTCATTCAGTACAGGTCACAAATTCTGCTGTGGCTGCAAGCTAGTTACTTAGGAATAGGAGGGTCTTCAGATTTTGAGAATGATTCCTCCTTTCCTAAATACTTCTTGCATCGTCTATTTCTCTACAATGATCTTAAAATTATATCTGAATCTCTTTTGGGCTTGTTTGTTGCCATCTTTGTTTCAGAAGCAGATCCTGGGACAAGGATTCAAGTACAAACAATTTATTTTGGAGATGATCCTAGGGATCACTGAGAGGGAGGGAGAAGGGAGTTACACATAAAAGAATAGTTACCAGCTGGAGCAGAATCCCACTAGGGAATGCTGGGAAACAGAGCATTACACAAATTTCAGCATTATCCCACTCAAGGAGTGAGGAGAAAAAGAGAAAAACAGATTCTCAGGACACAATCAATAACTTATTACCCTCTAGAAGCCAAAGTCAAACACCATCTTGTCCCCAGTGTACAGGATGTCTGCCCCTTACTCCGTATGCCCTCCTTTATCCTCTTATCTCAGGGTCAAAACTCTCTAAGTGTGGGCACTTGCTCATCCCAAAGATGAACCAGTCACTTATCCCTGTCTTACATGAGAAATGAACCTTTTTCCCCCATACATACGTGTGTGGGCACCGTGTGTATGGGAATATGATATCGAGGCTTGAAGTTGATGTCAACTGTCTTCTTCTGTCATCTTTCACTTTATGTTTAGAGATTCCTAGGTTAATGACAGCATATACTAGAAAAAAGACTTGTGCAAGAATATTTATAACAATGAGAACAATACAAAACAAACAAACAAACAAGAAAAGCCCAGTGGAAAACAACCCTACAGGTGAAGATAGTCACAACATGGATAGACATGCAGGTCAGCATTCTCTAGCATTCATGAGGCCCTGGCTTCAGTCCTCATAGCACTGAATAATTTTCTAAGAAGCAAACTGTGAACTAGCCGTACGATAGAATATTATTTGGTACTAAAAAAGAGTAAATTGTTGATAGAGCCTAAAAATGAGATTACAAAGAACAAAAGAAGCAGATCTAAGCTAGGGGCTCAGAAGTGCTTGTCTAAAACCAGCATTTGGGAGGTGGAGGCAGTAGGAGCAGGAGTTCAAGGTCAAAAAAGAAAAGAGAATGTAGATACAATGGGCTTACCAGGGACCCTTTCATGTATGTGGAGTTCTGAGGGAGGAAAGCCAATCTAGGGTTATAAAACGTAGACCAGAGGCCAGCTGTCTGTTTCGTGAGGTGGCTATTAACTGGGAAGAGGAAGGAATTTAAGAGTCCCAAAAATGTTTTATATCTTTTCTTGGGTAGTTACTCTGGTGTTAAAACTCACTTAGTTGCCTTAGTGTGGTGGTACACACCTTTAATCCCAGAACTCGGGAAACAAACAGGTGGGTCTGTGAATTTCAGGCCAGCCTGGTCTACGTAAGACATTCCAAGCCAGGTAGGGCTACATAGTGAGTCCCCATCTCAAAAACCAAAATAAAAAACAGAGCACTAAATACAAACTTGCCTGATTAAACACTGGAGATCTGTGCTTTTTGTTGTATAATACTGTACTTTAGTAAACATCTCACTTGTATCTTTAAAAAAGATGACACTTAGCAGTTAAGAGGATACAGTGGTTTGCTCAGTGCTCTGACCCCTACTAACGATGAACAAGCCTTAGAAGGGAGAAGCCTAGTGGGTTTTACTCTCTATAATGCTTGTGTCTCTTGGGTGTTCAAGTAATTCTCATTAACACTGTAAGTTTGTGCAAGCTTGCATACATTGAGCTGTGGCTTTATCATATATCTCTTGGCAGATGCTGGTTGCTCCAGAAGCTGGATGCAGGTGTATTGTCTAGGAAGGAAGCTTGCAGGTGGGAACTCAGCAGGACTCTGGGTGTCCTTGGGCACTGACAGGGTCCCTACTGTGAGCACCATCTGTTCCTGTGAAGGGTGTCTGACAGCAGCTGCAACCCTGGGCCTGGAAGGTTAGTGCCCCAGAGACCCAATGTCAGGCTTCTGTTCCCATCCTGCCTTCCTGTAGCAGGCCCATGGAAAGTCACTTTAACCCTGGAAACAGAAAGGATCAACACGTGTAGCACTTCACAGTTTACCAATATGCTCTTATCTTGAACCCTTAAGGTAGTTGTTTAATGGCCCTATTTTACAGAGAAGTTGAGTGATTTCCCCAAGGTCACAAAGCTGGCAAGCCATAAACTGAGATTCAAACCAAGCTTTTAACTATTTATTACCACATGAAATACAGTACTGCTGTGTCATTCAAGACCTTCAGAAGCAGTTTCTGAAACCTGACCCCTTCAGTATGGAATGGTAAGAAACTTTAATGGTAAAACTTTAATCAAATTTATTTCATTTGTCCACCCTCCTAGCCAGCTCAGATTGATCTGCCTGAGTAGTGTCACTTGCTTATGTAAATTTTCCATATTCCTAACTACCTGCCAAGTAAAACACACATTCCTTCACGGCTCTTGGTTAGTCTTCTGCCAAGCTCCCTTCTTCCTTAAACACAACTTTGCTTCCTAGCAGCTACCTCTGTATCTCTGATCTTCAATCCCCCTCCCCTCATCATTCCTTTGGAAACTTTCACACTTCAAGCCCTAAGTCAAATGCGACCACCACTCTCCCTCTTGGTAGACTTATGACGTCAGGTGTATGGATCACGCTCCTTACTTGGCCTAGCCTTAGAAATACTTAAATTCTTTGTGAGTGGGGCCTGTGGTTCTCCAGAAGCTCTGTTCTTCGCTGGACATGTAACCTTAGGCAGATGAGTTTGTTTGCACCTTGCTTCATTCTTCCTTGTTAGATCTTGAGGTCTCAGAGGATAGCTGTGCCTAAGAATGGGTAAACATTTCTGAAGCCAGTTGCTGACTAGCATGTTTTTTTGCACACTATAGATAGTTAATTCGTTGTACTGAACAAATGACCACCTTCCCAAACATTCGGTATATGTTTACTGTGTAGTTTAAAAACTATTTCCATTGAGCCAGGCTTGATGGCTCCTACCTATAATCCCAACATTCAGGAGGCTGAGGCAGCCTCAACACAGGTTTGAGGCCAGCCTAAGCTATAGAATGAGATCCTGTCTCAAAACAGAAAGAAAACAAAACCCAATTTAAATAAAACTGAAAACCTTAAAGTTTTCAGTTTTGTGTGTGTGTGTGTGTGTATGTGTGTGTTTGGTTAACGTTGCCTCCATTCTCTGTATATATTGTTCTGATTTGACACAGATTGTATAAATACTTAAATTCTTTGTAAGTGGAGCAGACATATGAAGGGACTCTGGGGTCCACAGTTCTATTTTGGCTCTGCCATTCACCACCCATGGCTGGAGATAAATAATATGTGCTTTTCCGGACCTTATTTTGCCAACATCAGGGGGTGTATGTGTGTGTCAGGGGTTAATAATCCCTGTTGTGTTTCTGTAACTCAACACAAGGTTGTTGGGAGGATAAATGAACTAACAGATGTGGAAGTTCTTTTTTGGCTGTAAATCACCCAGAAATGTCATTTGCTTGCTGTTTGATGGAGGCACACCTTATACTGCTTGGCCACCCCCTACCCATCTGCTCCTCTCTTCAGATGAAAAAAGGAGGGAATATGTTCAGAGGCATAGGTTGGTGAGAAAGTAGCCATGTTTTCCAAATGGTTCCTGAGTGGTTGTGATGGATTTGAGATAGGATGGGAAGAGGCTGCCATAATCTGAGAAACTGCTATGAAGATGAAGACACCCTAGAGAGCCAGCCTAACCCCAGGATTTAGTGGTTATGAGGGAGTCGGCCAGTTTAGGAAGTCTCTCAAGGCTTGGGCCGATGAACGATGACATGGGCTGCCTTGAGGGAAGGTGAAGTCTCCCATGCTACTAAAATCTTCCAAATTGTAAACATAATAGCCTCACTTCCAGGGTACCCAACATCAAAAAGCAACAACAAAAACTCAGCGAAGCCCACACTTCCGGTCTGGTAGAGGCGTTCTTCGCTTTTGCTTAGGGAAAGGGTGGGCCTTGAGCCAATGTGCTTCCTGATTGGCTAGCGGATTGTCGTGAAGTGTCACGTGGAGGCGGGCTTTCCAGGACCGTGAGCAGGCATGGCTGAGGCGGGAAAAGTCTCCTCGGGCCTTGGCCTTCCAGGAGAAGTCTCCCAGTGGCCTCTGAAGCGCTATGGCCGCTTCATGCTCTTGCATACCGGAGAGTCGCCTGGTCCTAGCTCCGCAGTTGATGCAGGATCTTCGCCCACATGGAAGGTGAGGCCTGAGGGTAGGAAGGACTGCCAGCTGCCTGATCCCCAGGGAATGAGGGAGGATCCTGGCCAGCAGCCACATAGGGCTAGTGCCCCACCCTCGCACCTCTACAAGGACCAGAGTGAGTGACTGCTAACATAGGAAGCTTGTGTCTAAGTAGGACTAGGAGGATGCATAGTTGTAACTGATTTCATTCTCAAACTAATTATGCAGGGGTGAGGTAAACATTCCTATACTCAACTTTACTGATTGAACACGGATTGCATGTTAGACACTGTTTAGTTTGCTAAGGATTTAGCATGGAGCAAGGCCTAAATGGTCCCTGTTCTCATGCGTGGCTTTGTTTGCTCTTTTGTAGTACTGGGGAATCTAAGTGCCCCATCCCTACCATGCCCTTTGGTAGTCCACAAGACTAGAGTTACATTCTAGCTGTTAATTTTGTTGCTGAGGATTGGAGCAAGGCCCCCTGTGTGCTGAGACTGCTTTACCACTAAACTACACTGCCAGTCCCTGAACACACCCCCCCCCCACACTCCGCACAGTGCCGAATTTCCTTGTTCTTTGTTAAGCTACTTGGCATCTCTGAATCTCATTTATCATAAAATAGAAATAATCTTGATGTTGTATTGAACTAAGTATAATAGAGACAAAACAGGAATAAAAATAACAATCTCACTTCATAGGGCATGTGTGTGTGTACACTGAGTTGTTTATGTTTTTGGATTGTCGCCATGGGTGAAATAAAAGAGAAACATGCAACCTGTGAAAGGCTCCACACCTGAGAAAAGCTTAGCAGGTCTAACATATAGAGAGAAGCCAAATGGTTGGCTCTTACAGAACCAGGGGAATGGTCATAAGTGGTGTGGATGTCTGGAGAGGAGGCCAGGTGCCTTGTGAATGTTATTTTAGAACCCACAGGGAAGCCATGGGGAGGGTTTTAATTGTTTTCTTTTTTGACACATCACTCTGTCTTTGTAGATGGAATTAGAGGAAGGTATCAGTGAACAGGAAGACAAAAGATAATGACACCTCAGGCCTGCTGGGGTAGGAGGGAATAGTAGAGATGGGGAAAAGGGACATATAATTTGGAGGCTAGAAATGAAAAGGCTTGGTGTTGAATGTGAGCAGTGAGGGTAAAGGGGTTTGGTTTCTGGCAGAAGCAACCATAGGAGAATGGGATGCACTGGAGGGAAAACAGGAATATCTTAAGACTTGAGAGTTGTGTGTTGAGCTTACTGTGCACAATGAAATGCCGGTTATACTCAGTTGGGTGTATTGTTCTGGACTCAGACGGCAGACCTGGGCTGGATGTGTGAAGGTGTGAGTCAGCATTGTGAAGGTGATACAGTCATGAGATTAGAGATTCCAGGACTTGTTCCCAAGGTAGTGCAGTGACTGACTGTAGTTCATATAGAAGTGTCAGAAGCTCCCAGATTGACAAGGGCTAGAGAGTTGCAAAGTACGTGGGAGAATAAAAAGAGTTCTCTTAAGAGGGAGAGGATGCTTGATTAAGTTTGTGGAATGATATTGTCAGCAGAAGAAAAATAACAGCTAGAGGGTGGCCATTGTACTTAGCCATGCGAAGGGTTGGTAGCCAAAGAGGAGTCCGAGTGAGGGAGGGGTGTAGAAGCCAGCCAGAAGTGGATTGAAAAGTGACTGGTAGGTGAATACATAGAGCCAAGTGCACAGTTTTGAGCGAGAGCTTTGGCTGGGGATGTGAATAGAACTAGGGCATTGTGAATTATTCATGACATTCTGAAATATTAGCGTAAACGGTACTCTAAAACTGGAAATCAATATATGTAGGTCCATTTAAAAAATCATTAAACACCTTGTTGTGCTCTTGTGGAACTCTGTATCCTAAAAGAAGATACAGGCCAAAAATGCAAAATGGAGTGAGGCAGAGTTAAATGCAAGTGTGACCGATCTATAACTGGATCTTATAAAAGATCTGGGATATTGGAGGACATATTTAACTTCCAAGACTGCTTCAGTAAGCTCCTTGATAATTTCTCCTAGCAACTCTTTAATCCCTTTCAATCCTTTTCTCTGTGTTGGATGCATTGGCTTAGATTCAGCCAGGTAACTCTTATATTGCATCCCAAAGTGTAGTGTGGGCATTGCGACCACATTACCTTCTCTTTGCAAAGCTCTTCATAATTGCTTGTAAGGAACAGCACTCTTGAGCTGATTTCAAATGTTTGGCATAATACCATGACCATAGCGACAAGAGATGAAGTTGGGGTTTGTAGGGATTTTGAAAACTGGACATTGCTTTGAACCTGTGCCCAGCCATCCTTCCTGCTGTGATCAATTTCAACTTAGGTTTGTCATATATATTCCTTTTTAAATGTTAGAAAAACAAGATTTGTTCTTTTTTTATAGGCATTGTGACTGTTGTAACATAATAATAATAATAATCCCGTATTCTCCAAGTCCCTTGTGGGATTCTTTGAAAAACATGTGGTATCTACAGTAAAACTGTATGGTAGGTTATACACAGAAATTTATAATGACAAAGTCATTCTGGTAGGATTTTTTCCATATGGAATGCTTTAAATTTAATTATGGATAAGCCCATTTTGATTTTTTAAAATTGTACTTGAAATTATGGAGTCTCTGTTCTCTTGATCCCATATGTAGGATCAAGCTTTAGCACAGTGGCCACGTGCTGACAAAACTGTCCATCCAAGAGAAAGATGAATAGTGCACGATTTCTCAGACTGTGAGGCCCTGTTGAGAGGGAAGGTCAAGTGAGGAGACATCAAGATTATGGTATACAGAGAATGTCCACCATGCTGACCCCATTACTTCTCTGTTACAGTTTTCCCACCAGCCTGGTCCCAGAGCCTCATCAGCCCCAAATAACAAACAGAGATGCTGTATTAGATATAAAGCTGTTGGCTTGTTACTAGTATTTCTTATCGGCTAGCTCTGTCTTAAATAATAACCCATTTTTATTAATCTAAGTGTTTCCACATGGTCTTATCTTACCGGAGAGAGGGTCTGGACCTCTTCTCTCAAGTCCCTACATCTTGACTCTTCCTTACTACATTTTCCAGAATCCTCTTTGTCTCCTAGTCCCAACTATCTTGCCTTCCTTGCCAACAGTACTTTATTCATTAACCAATAAGAAAAACATATTTACAAAATGACTTCTCCCATCACTTCTCTAATTGTTACTACATGTCACACAATTTGGCAGCAAGTAAACTTTTTATAACAGTGAACAAAACAAAATAAAACCCCAAATCCACCACAGTTTACAGCTTTGCTACTCAGGCATCAGTGTTCATTGCAGTCCTGTTGAGATTTGGTTAAAATGCAAATTCCGACTCAGTCAGAATAGACTGTTGTGGGGAATGAGACTCTGTCCTTATAGTAAGCTCCCGGTGGCACTGGTGGTGGTCTGGGGACTTTGAGAGGTAGACATTCGGAAGACCTTGGGTGAAGTGAACAGCTATGTAGTGCAACTAACAAAATGAATTTATGAATTTATAGTGGTATGACCAAGTTACATTCAAAATGAACATGCAAATATTTTATTAAGAGGGTTAATATGCCATCATCTAAGTGAAATGAGCAAATGAAATGCAAACTTGAACTTGAATTTCATTTTTTATATCTATTGGTCCAAAAATTATCATAATATCAGATTTGTCCATTTTATATCTGTGTATAATTTAGTCTGTTAATTTGAGAATCTTGAAAGGTGATGTTAATTGCAGGTTGTTTTTCAATTAAAGTTTTAGCATGTTTTCCAGATTCTAAGTCTTTCCCAGACATGTCTTAATTGGTTGAACCTGACAATGTCTCAGATTACTTTTTTTCAAAGAAGAGTGATCCTTTAATTTTTGTAGCAGAACCTTAAAATAATTGCCCTACTTAGAAACTACGAAATGGAATATGAAGTTTGTACTTGAGATGAACTTTTAATGTGGGTTTCATGTAGAGTGGGTTTGGGGCCCTTTCTTTTCATATTTCTAGTGTCTCTGTGCTCCTGTCACATGATAAATCCTTAGTAATATTTGTCTGAATATGTGGCCAACTTTTTTTTTCTGTTTTTGAGACATGGTCTCACTGTGTAGGTCTAGCTGGCTTGGAATTTATGTAAACCAGGCTGGTCTTGAATTCACAGAGATCTGCCTGTCTCTGCCTCTCAAGTGCTGGGATCAAAGACTTACACCACTAGGCCTGTCTGTATTTAGACATAGTTACAGCAGCCCTAAGAAACAATATTATTTTACAAATGAATCAACTGAAACTGATGGATGTTCTGTGGCTTTTCTAAGAATTTAGAAGTTGGGAATAATTTAGACTCTAGTTTTCTTGTCTGTAAAACTTGTGTTTTTAATTATGGTGCACTCACCTTAGAAATGTTAGTATTTCAGGAATTTTCAAAGTAGGATGTAAGGTGAGCATGATTAAGATGATTGCATTAATGTCTTAAGGACAATTTAAGATTCAGTAGAATTTTAAGAAAATTAGTTTAAAGAAATAGAAAAATAGCAGTTCTCTTTTGTATGCTGGGTGATTTTTTTTTAGTAGGTCCTTATTGTTGTGAGTTTTAAGTTTTTGGGTCCAGAAAAATTTTGTGTTCTTATAAATACTCCAGCAAATCTCTCTCTCTCTCTCTCTCTCTCTCTCTCTCTCTCTCTCTCTCTCACACACACACACACACACACACACACACACACGACAAATTAATTTGAAACCGTTGTTTTCTTTCACATCTGTTTTTAAATCATGTGAAGGTGAGAGCCTTTGGTTTAGGACTAACCCTCACCAACTCCTGAAGGAACATTCTTGAGAGAACACTACCCAGTGCCCCATAAATGAAATGCCTTTCACTCTGACTGCTGAGCAATAGGCAGTGTCCAGTGCTCTGTGTTAGGCAATGCTGCCTTAAATACTTGGAGGCCGTTCTTTCCCCAGCCATGTGTGCTGAGTAGGGCTGCACTGAAGGACAGGCTTTGGAAGTGATTGATATCCACTCCGGGTGT